GTTCCTTTCAAGATATATTAATTTATAATTGCAAAAGGATGCTTCTAAACTTCTCTATGCTTAAACCAATGAAGGCATCAACATGCTTTCCCCCATTTACTCGACTCAAGTTATAGAGCATGTCTTCTGTGCAAGCACTGTCAGTATCCTAGGAACACAATGCTAAAAAACTTGTTCTAATGGAGGTGACATACTCTGAGAGAACTTATGGGATGTTCTGAGTATGAATCAGGGATCCTGGCCTCAGCAAAGATGTAGGGGTTGAAGAGAATCAGAGGGATCTGAAAGAATTGATGTATAAATTGAAATTTGAAAGATTATCAGGAGTTTGATGGCACTGGCGCAGGCCAAGATGGGGGAAGGACTGGTACAGAAACTACTGAGAATCCTGGGAAAGGGAATAACGTGCATAAAAACCTAGAAGTGAGATAGAAGTGTGGGCTTGAACTTGACCTGTTCCAGAAACAGAGAGACATCAATATGGCTACAGTTTAAGCTGGAAAAAAGGTAATTGACCAGCTTTGAGTCTATGGAGATAAGCAGATGAAAGCTCATAAAAGTCTTTGCAATACATTGAGGAGTTTGGGTRTAATTCCATGAACAATGGGAAGCTGTTTAAGAGGTTTCAAACAAGAGTAGTAGGAAATACAATCTGTTTCAATCTCCTCCTAAACAAATGTTTAAATCAAAAGAGCACTCGGAATTATGGGAGTCCAAAAACAGTACCAAATTATGAAGAGGTAGTATTCTTCAGTGTGAAATCTAAGAGGGCTTTTAAATAAGCATTTTTGCCTTCAGAACATTGTAGGAAACCATTAACCTCATCAAATGGGAGCCTTGACAACAGTCTTTTATTCCAGATGAGTACAACTCAGGAATCACCCACTAARCTTATAATAGAAATAGTAATCTATGTTGGAAATATATATATATATATATATGCAGAGTTTGACTTCATAGTATTCCACATGAGAACATAAGTGTTAACCATATATTAACATTATAGTCATCCTCAGAATTTCAGTACTGAAAGGGATATCAAAGGTCATTCTGTCCAATGTCTTCATTTTATGGATGAAAACAGTACACAAGATAATCAGAAATAAGCAATTATTTAAGATCTGGGTTYTTCTTGGAAGATTTCAGCACATTATAATGACAACTTAATTTTCACAATGAAAATCAGGTATTTTGATGTATATATTTAATTACTAACACTGTTCCTGAGCTTCCAAAATGGTTCCCAATGGACCCTGCCTATTAGTATTCACATCTGTTGTAGTTGCCCCAGCCTCCAACATGGTACCAGCTTGTGGGTCTTGAGCTCTAGCCTTCCTCCCTTGAATTAAAATGTCCCACCCACCACCTGTGAGATACCAAGGTCTTTCTGTTTGCCATGTGAATGAACTTGGAAGCCAATTCTCCAGGCCCAGCTGAGCTGAGCTRACTGCAATTCTACTGACAGCCTGGCAAGAACCTCATGAGAGAATCTGAGCCAGAAATACCAGTTAAGGCACTCCTTGATTCCTGAACCTCGAAAGGGTTAAATAACAAAGGTTTGTTCTTTCAAAGTGTTAAACTTTGGTATAATTTGTTGTRTAGTAATAGAAAATAAACACCATACAAAATTAAAAACTCTTTACAAACTATATGCAATTAAATAGTAATTGTTATACACAATAAGATATTATCTTGATTTAGAAATACGACCACTGGTGATCTCCTTTGAAAAGAGATGATTAAATGGTTTCCARAATAGGCAACAGAATATTTAACTAGTAATTTACAGGTCACTGATTCTAATTTAACTGAATTCTTGGCAACCAGACAGAGTTAAAATTGAAATTTGGCCATAAACAGTAATTGCCCATAGCTGCATGTTCCTATTTCAATWARCCTTAAAAAAAAAAAMAMCCYYMAAARRWTWAAAAAAAAWATCTCAACTTAAAGCTATCATTTTCTTCTTAATTCTGAGKATTCTTAGTAGGATATTGAGTAAAAGGGAAACAACAGTTAATGGAGATGACAGTGTAAAAAGTAATCACAACTCTAAATAAAACCCCCAAACTTTTATTCTGGGAAGAACCTTCAGGTAAAGAATAGCCAATGAAGCAGTCCCCACCCCTCTTCTAAGTTTCATTTCCTGTTTTTTATTCATAATCCAATTATTCACTCAGCATTCCATCAAGAAATATTTATTAAACTCTTTTGACACACCAGGCACAGGGATACAATAATTAATTAGACAGACAAATCTCCAGATTCTTGCAAATTTAATCTGGGAGTGGGAAAACAATTCAGGAATTACAACACAGTGATAATTGTTAGGGAGGAAGTAGAAGGTGCAATGGAAGCCCCTAGCAAGAGACCTAACCCTGTACCTTAGTAGAAGGGGCATGGGAGAGAGTCTAGAAAAGCTTTTGTAATTGATATCCAAGTTTAATGGTAAGGTGTCACAGGATATTTCAGGGGTGGGGTGGGGGGGGAGCTCCTTATATAAAGGCCCAAAGGCAAGTGAGTTACATTGAGAAACTTAGACCTTCAGCCTTACTGTAGCACGTAGAAGGAAGGCATGGTGAGARTCCCAAGTTAGTGCAGGATGGACACAGTTCCTTATAGTGGATTCCTTTGTAGCAGAGTTGACATGGGAAAAAATTTAAATAAAACAAAACTAACAAATCTGATCCTCTGCATCCAATCTGAGAACATTATATAATAAATACTATTATGTAATATTATAAGACAACCATAATCATTACTTGGCAAAAATTATGTATGTACTGGCAAGAATTTTGAGGTGAAAAAACGTGTTWTGAATCCCAGCTTAGAAATGACAGTAATACTAATCTCAGGTTGTGTAAAGKTTACATGAAAAAATAAAACATGAAACCTCTTACCCATACCAGGTGTTCAAAGAATTCACCTCCTTTCTGGCTACTTTGCTTCTGAGCCCCCAGCTGATCTTTGAACTGAAGGCATCATGTCAACCATATGTGACCTTCTAACCTGGCAGACACCATCTCCTATGCTCATCCCATTACGCTCTAGACGTTACTTTCCTTCCCAGTGAACATTTCCCTGTGTTAGACAAGCCAGAAGTACCCCCCAAAAATAACAATMCCTGTCATACAGTAACAGCTGTAGCATTTGTAAAACAAGAATTACACCCATACACTGAGACTTAATCCATTACATTAACTGTATATCTGCTATGTACTTGGCCTCAGTTATTCCCTTTGATAATATCATGCAGTATACTSACTATTTGGCAGATAAGAGCCTTAGGTTAAAAAAGGTTAAGAGTGGCTTACCCTGACCTAAGCTTTGAATGTAGCTTCTCATCTTCTTTCTCAACAGACTTGTCAACTCTTCGAAAGSTGCATCCCAGCAAAAGTGGTAAAAGCCATTTATTTTAAGGTGTATGTTAGGTTTCTTTTAAACATTGTTAGAATTCAGAGAAACATGGTCTTTTACTACTGTATACACATTGATTAATTTCTAACTTTGTGGCCTTTTCATTTGTATTTCCAGTTCTGTGTGCAAGTGGTGGTGGCAGGATCTCCCTAGAATACTCTAAAAGAACCATTCAAAGGGCTTTAGCCATAAGTACCACTTTCCATTTGTATACTGAGCAGCTATGTTTATAACAGAAAAAATTAAGCTTCTGATTTTATTCATAACAAAAGATTGTCTCTTCTGACTGTGAAAATCAGAGCACAAATGCAAGATTTAATCACTGAGGCAGACTAAATAACCAGGTTTTACTTGTTTTAAACCCCAAAAGCAAAACAACAACAACAAAACCTTGCAGATTTGAAGTAGTATTATGAAAAAATATACTTTGACCATACTAAAAAAAAAAAAAGGACAAAATTTTAAACATTCTGTTTAACTTTAATTAGGCATTTCAGCGTATGGCACACTAATAATGCAATAACATACACTCCATGATATATAGTGATGRACATCTTTGTTGGAAGATATGGGCACAATATTTCCTTGAGAAGGGGCTTGRTAATTACCAACATCCTTTCAAGGGCGTCAGGTCTCATGGACAGAAAAGGAAAGTCCATCAAGAGGCAAAAATCAGGTGTGAGGGAAACAATAAGGGGTAAGTATTGTCTTAAAAACTGAAATTGTTTTCTCTGGGTAGAAATCTAAGATCAAGGATTCATTGCTTATTAGCAGATGATTGGCTTTCTTCTAATTAGCTCAAGGGCAAGAGTAATACTGGCTTTCCAAGTGAGCTCCTCTAGTTCATCTCACCTGAGCCTTTCGGTTACAAATCCACCTCCTCTAGAAGCCGTGTGAAAAAGCAAGATCAATATATATATATATGGAAAAAAAAATCCTCCCAGCTATAAATCAGCCACGTGGAGCTGCTGCTGCGGCAGCTGTAGCTCCGACTTCCTGGTTTGCTTCCTGCAATCAGGGGGGGCTCGGGCAGGTCCGCGGCATCCTGGAGGGCATGGGTGTTAAGGGCMGAGTTATGGTCCATAATTACCATAAAAGTTTGGCAATCCGGAAGCTTTAAGGAGCTGAGCTGTAGGGCAAAGGCTAAGGACCAGACCTGGGGAAAGTGTTAAGTTAGTTACAAAATAAGGAGGGACTGGGAAGGGGGCTCGGGTGCTCGGTGGTGGAGAGAAGGGGACTGCGGATCTGGAAGGGGGCAGGTAGAGAAAAAGGAAACCCAGAGAGCGAGGCACACCGGCCGGTCGGAGCTCTGCGGAGGCCGCCTGCGGGGAGGGGGAGGTGGCGGCGAGCGCGGTCCGAGCCGCGGGCTGCGGGGAGGGGGCGGAGGGAAGCGCCCGGGGGAAGGTAGAGCCGAGGGGAGTTCCGGAGCTGGAGCAGGAGAGGGCAGACAGCGGAGAGGGCGGCAGCCGTAGCGTTAGGGGTGGGGGAAAGAGGAGGAGGAGGAGAGCCGGAGGAGGGGGAAGGAGGGAGGGGAGAGCTGTGGCGGCGGCTGCGCCGGGCTGTGTGTCTCTCGCCGCCGGAGGAAGATGAGGCTGAAGATTGGGTTCATCTTACGCAGTTTGCTGGTGGTGGGAAGCTTCCTGGGGCTCGTGGTCCTCTGGTCTTCCCTCTCCTCACGACCCGACGACCCGAGCCCGCTGAGCAGGATGAGGGTGAGTGACCCGCCCGGCCCCCTCCGGCGGCTGCGACCTGCAACTTGTTTTGTTTGCGCGCGCGTGTGGCGGGAGCGGGGGGCGGCGGGGTCGCGGCGCGGCGTTGGCGCCGCAGCTCCGCAGGTGGTGTTGGCTCAGCGCCGGCCGAAGGGGGCGCCGAGCCCCACGCACCGGGTCCYCTCTGGCCGCAGCCGGCCCGCCCCCTGGCCGCCCCTTCCTCCCGCGCTTCCCCGCCCCGGGCTCCGCCGCCGACACCCGCGCTGCGGCGGCGGCGGCTCTGGGGACGCTCTCCGCGTCCGGACTGCGGGATGGGATCGGAGGAGAGCTGGGTCCGGGGGACCGCGGCTGCTCGGCGTCCAACTCGCTGGTGCCGCGAATACCGCGGTCGCAGCCGAGGGACGTGGGGTTGGTCCAGGCTGCGGCCTGTGGCGCGTGCAGGCCTGAGGAAGGCGAGATGCCGCCGCCACTACCGCGGTCCGGTGGACCAGGCCCCGCGGTCCAGCCTTCCCTCACGCCACCGCCCGTCCGGGGGTGCTCGTAGCCCGGCGCTCCCCCCAACCCGCCCGCCCGCCGGGGAGTGGGAGGACGACGGCGCCCCGCCTCCGGCTAGTACGGAGAGCGCCGCCTCCCCCTCAACTCCGGTGGCCGGGAGTCGGGTGCGATGTGCGGCCGAGGCCTCGCCCGGGACCGGCGTTTCCTCCCGGTTCTCTGGACGAGGGGAGGGGCGTCCTCGCCCSGATAGGCGTCCCCCACCCCTGGCGCCCGGGGAAACCCCTTCGCTGACAGCGCGCTGGTGCTTTCCCGGGGATTGGGAGTCAATTCCTCTTCCCCGGCTGCAGCAGTGTTTCTCGGGCCGGAAAACTAACTTGTGTCGGCGCCCGGCTCCCCGCGCTGCCTGCCTGCTCCCTGAGCCGGACGCAGAGTGGCGCCCGGGCGCGGAGCTCCCTGCCGCTCCTCTGGGACGCATTTGTCTTTCGCCCAAGGCGCGGGTGTTAGATTTGACACTCCTTGGCTTTTGAGGATTTAGCTAGGAGCCTCGGAACATTAGTTACCGTGAGCCGCGCCGCTTGGAAGGGGCCGCGGTCACTGCTTCTGCACTGACCAAGCAGTTGTAGGGGCAAGAGCGTTCTGGTTCCCCAACCTGACTCGCCCCCWCCCTCCCGTGAGCCGTTGCAGGCACCTAGTACCTCGCTCCTGAGACTTGGATACCCACCTCCTCCCGGCCAGTGGTTCAGAGCCACGGACAGGCTGAGGAGCCTTCGGAGTCTTTAGCAAAGTGCCTTTTGCAAAAACGATCAACATTGCATCCATGTGATCTTCTTATTAACTTTCCTTCTGGAAAGTTAGGATGTTGAGTGAAAAGGCTTGTGGAGTCCTTTCAAGAGTAAGAATCTTAGGAGGAGGTTCCCTTATCAGTCCTTGTTTATGTCAGGACTTAATTTGTAAATTTCAGTATTTGGATAGTTTTTACTGCAGAGGAATCTCCTGTTGTACTATCTGGAGTGGATTCCCATCTAAGTCATCTAAATTGATGATAAAAAGTGTCGTTTTCCTTTGCAGTGTATTGGCGGCTCTCATGGAGTGAGTGATGGTGACCTTTTTCTAATTTTGCTGAGGATTTATTGACAAAGGATAACTGAATATTTGCAGTTGTCTGTAAATATTTGAAATCATCACATGGCCTTTTACATAGTGCTAGAAATGTTAGTCTTCGTTTTCTGGAAGAGAAATTGAGGAAAAACTGACAAAATTGCCATGTTTAGAATGTCCTGTAGTTTAGATGATGAGTTTCTTAAAGAGATGGTGAAACATCATTCCCATCTCTTGAGATATTTTATCAATGCTGATATGTAAGTAAGGTACAGTGCCCCTTTAATTACAGTGAGGTGGCGATATCTTTTTGGTTCAACTTATTTAGTGAAATTTGTCAGTGGACCCAGTGCAATTGTATAATTTACCAGATTTAAGATTTACCAACATAATTAAAATTAAAATAAATTCTTAGGTATCAGGAAAGCAAACTCTTTTTATTAACTTTCCAGGCAAATAGTAATCTAAGTGATTTAAAGTATAGCATATAAATCAGAAAAGTGTAAATGAGGGACTATTGCATTTCTTTATTTAAAGCTAATCTAAGAGCTTAAGAAATCCAGTCTTAGAAGACCTTCTTGATTAGGGAAGACTGACCAGGTACTCAGATGCTGATTCCTGAGTTTCTTCTCTCCCTTGCAGTTCATTTACTGTGATTATGATYGCAGACACTTTCAATTCATTTTGAGAACCGTGCTTTTCTTTAATGTTAATCTGGAATTGTTTTGGATCTCTTTAAATGTCCTGAGATTGGCTAGAACATCCAGTTTAYCAAATATAGGTTCTGTTTGTGTTCCATCAGGCTTTTTATGCTCCATCCACCCTGTGCAGTTTTTTGTTTTGTATTATTACTATTCCAGACATTAAAGTCTGTTACAACCTACTCCTTCATTACAGGGAGTATTTCTTTGCTTTAATATTTCCCACCTGTGGAGTCAAGACAAGAGAAACATGTTCTTAGCTTCATGCTTGTACCTGAATCTCTTGTCCTTTCTTTGAGGTGAATGATGTAGAAAAATGACCTTATTATCCCAATCATATTGTGTTATTTTTTTTCTTTGATTTATTCAAATATTTTTGAGTTTATATTGTGTACCATGTTTGGTGCTAATTGTTAAGGAAACATTCCTTGTCTTTAACCTCAGAGACCTTATAGTCTAATGAGAAGAAAACACATTGATCTAGCCTCCACAGTATATAAATAAAAATTGTGCTACATGCTGTGAAGGAAAACCATAGGGGACCAGAAAACAGAGGAGCTGTTTTCTGAAGAAATGACTTGGAGTTGAAATCCGAAGATTTGAAGAAGAGTAGTTGTTGATCTGGGGATGGGACATTCCTGAAAATAGCAGTATGTACCAGGTCCTGAGGCAGGGGAAGGAAGGAACTGGAAGATGGATGTAGTTGGAACATGAAGGGTGAGGAGATAGGTGTAACAATACCACAAAGGTAAGGATGTATATTGCAGACATGGATTTAGATCTTAAGAGGAATGGGAGGCTATATAAGGATGTAATTTAGGGAAGAGACATGATTACATTTGTGTTTTGAGGGACTACCCTGACTGCCTGCAGGAGATACACTTTTGTCTATAGATAATTAAGAGTTCCATTGTTACAGTAGTTCATATGACATATGACTTTGCTTGAATTGGTAATGAAGAAAGTGAATTGATTCAACAACTATTAAAGATGCAAAAGCATCAGGATTTGGTGATTGGATGTGGAAGTGAAGGTGGCAGAAGGTCTAGGATGATAGATTGTTACATTATGAAAAGTTATAAAGACAAAATTTATTCATTCTATTCTATTTTATGGTTATGAGAAGGCTTATTTTTTAGGCATTGTTCTCTGTATTTTAAGGTCATCATTTATTAAGACCATCTATTTAGACATGCAAAGTGCAAAAAGTTTCTTTAATAAATTATAATAGGTCTCAGACTGAYACCATTTCCCCCAGGTTTTAGGCCTGAATGAGTGTTTGAAGTTGAATCATAATCACTGAAAGAAAGTAAAGGAAATTTAGCCTCAGTGGTTCTATTAAAACCCTCAGTACTGATTGGGCTTTTGTGTAAACTCATGATTTGTTGGGAGTTGCTCTGGACTCTACGTACCTTTAAGTCCTGAATAAAGGAGTATGGAACAGTTGTTGCACCCCATTTTCTGGAGCTGCTCTGGAAATACACACCCTTAAGTCCTGAGTAAGAGATACTGAATAATTATGGCGCCTTGCAGTAACTTGGGCTTTATCTCCMCTGGGATAATGAGGTGTGGCTCCAAGAGTAGGTGTTACCCAGTGGGATTGAATTACACTCACCTGTTCCTTTGTAATACTACCACTTTGCCCTTTTTGGGATAGAATGTTCCATGGAACCTCCCCTTGTGTGTCCCCTATATAAGAATAAAGAATTCCAGTGGCTCTCTCTTTCCACTGACCCCTAAGTTCACAGAGCCATCCCTGGATTTTGAAAAGGTACTTCTGTGTGTGTGAGCGCACGCTTTCTACACTGTTTTCTTAAGTTATTGGAATAGTCAGATTTTGTAAATGCAGCATTAAGTTGTTACCTAGGGTAGATGATGATAATGATTCTCTGTATATTCAAATGATACTTTGGCCAAACCATTAGTGACATGTAAATTCAGAGCATACACGATAGGATTCAGCAACTACTGCTTGGCCAAGAGGTTAGGTTTGAAAGGGGTCTAGCTTAAATGAGGACTAGTGGCCAAATTCACTACCCTGTCACAGTTTAGTTTCAACTTACCAAAGTAATTTTATCTCAGTGATGATCAGTGGTAACCTGAAAAATTCTTCCTTTGACCATGAGATTTTATCTCAAAGGGAAATGCCATTTATACTRTTAGGGATAGAGCTATCACTTAGCAAAAGTGTAATGTCCTAAGTGGCCACTGTTCTCTCAGTTCTCCAGTCTACATGGCTCAGGATGTTTTTTGTTTTCTTTGCAGTTCTCAACTTTTCACCGTCCAAAATTTCTAGTAATAATAATATTGATGTTGATAATAAATTTATATCACTAAGCCTAAGAAATCTGGGCTTATAGACATCCTGAAATTATTGCAGATTTTTGTATATATGTGCATTTTCTGGATTGAGAATTAGAATCTTCCCTACTTCCCCGATGGTCCTATAAGCCAAACAAGGCCTCAGACCACTGACTGAGCCCCTTGGAGGCAAAGTTCATGTTTCCTGCTCATAGGATATATCTTCCCTTCTGTTCTTGGTGTTGAATTTATGGAAGGTGCATATTAAATTTTTGGTCAAAAACATAAAGTACATCTATTTATGAATTCCCTGTATGTCTAGTCACTGAAAATGTTTGGTGGATTTCCTGCTTCTTATTTGTTGGTTTTTGTGAAAGAGTCTCCCATACAGGGGTCTAAGTAAGGTCA